ATATACAAAGTTCTGAAGTTATAAATATATCAAATCTGAATAAAATTAACTTTAAAATATAAAAATTTTATAATTATTATTATATTATTAATTAATAAATTTTTATATAATAAATATTTTAACTAATTTTAAAATGTTTAAAATGAATAATTAAATTAAATCAATAATATATTAAATTTTATAATTATAATAATTAAATTTACAAAATTTTTAATAAAAATTTAAAAACATTTTACTATTTTAATAAAAATATCCTATTAGTTTAAAATTAAATTTATTTATATAACCTAAATATTAATAATAAGATTATAAAAGTAAAAATATTAGAAGTTTAAATTTGATAAATTTATATTAAAATAATATTAAAATAGAAATATAATAATAAATAAAATATTATAAATATTATAATTTATTATAAGATTATGTATTGAAATTTGAATTTTTTTAAAGTATTTATTAATATAAAATTAATTTTAATTTTTGTATTCTGAATTTTTATTAAATATATTTGTGAAAAAAAATAATTAAGAATAGAAGAATTATTTATTAGTAATAAAGATTTATTAAAACTTTTATTATTAAAAAACTATATAATAATATAACAAGTAATTACATTTTATTATTTAACTTGCTTTTTAAATCTTTTCATAACTTTTTAACTTGAATTCCAAAAAAATATTATTAGATAAAAATAGTTTATATTAATTGAAGGTTGATTAATTAAACTAAACAAACATATATATATATAATTATTTATTTATTTTATTATAAACATTATTTTAAGAAATTGAAATAAATTAGTATAATCGAATTGTTGTTATTATATATCGTCATTCGCACTTTCCATTTTTTTCGACTTACTTCAATAGTATATTCAATTCAAATTCATATCACATCCAAAATAACGATTGACGTATAACTCCAACATCAAATTGCGCATCAGCATGTAACTTTCAAAGTATGCCGAAAAGCCTGTTTGACAGTACGAAACCGCGCAACGAAAACATTTTGAGAGGTTAGGTTGATTTTTATAAAGTGCAAATGGTAAATAAATCCCACCCCGAGAATTGATCATCTCAGTAGCACAAATAATGCTCTTGTTATTGGTTTAGGGCCAACGTTTTATTACATTGGTTTTGTAAATGGTGGGTAATCGAATCCATACATAATGAACAAATGAACAAAATCTTTGATTGGAAAATCTATTAAGCATAGGAAAAAAATCCTCCGCCATACAGGTCAACAAACACGATTAATCATCAATAATATTAGGTAATGTTCGGGATTTTGATAAAATTTCTCCATTTGTGCTTGAAAGAACTCAGTGCCCTCAGTTTATTCAAAGTTTCACCTTTAAACGAATTGTATTATTATATTATTTAATTAAACTTGATACATTAAAGATTCTCTTTGATCTTTTTAATTTTATGTTGTAAATATTAAGACGTACATGCATAATTTTTTTTTTTTTCAAATAATACCAAATAAGAATAATTGAGATGCGAATCTCGGGAAATTTTTGTTTCAATTATGTAGTTGATTAACGGGTTCATTTTTAAGAATTACCCATACAGTTTATTATGACTCAGTTTTCCCTGCAATGAATGAAATCATCTAGAACATTGGCCACTAATACGCCATAAACCTTTCCTTTTTTTTCAAAAAAAAAGGACCAAACAAGTATATGACCATCCTAATAAAGTAATTGTAATCTTGCGGCAAAATTTAAAGTTCATAGAAGATATAATTAATGTAAAATACGCCATTAGGGGGTGAGAAAAGATGGCTTGTTATCGCGTGATGTCATATAAAGTTTTAAGTGATTATTATTAGTAAAAGATGAAGGAAACGTATGCAGGGGATGCATTGGTTTCATCAGTCATGATTATTGTAGTTTCCTACTTTGTAATTTAATAAATTCCTATTTCCTGGATAATTTACCAAAAGTTCCAAGACATCGTATGATGATCACTGGAACAAAACAAGGAAATTTGTATAAATTGAGAAAGAAACACACTATTATTTCGAATAAGGAACTTCATTGTTGATAATCAAATGTAACATTACAAAAAGGGAATCAAAACAAACGATCTTAAAGAAAGAAATTATGCTTATTGGGTATAAAAAAAAAAAAAAGGATCCCCTTTAAAGAACTTTATAAAATTTTATTGTAAAATGGTTTTCTTTTTTTAGAGAATTCAAACAATGTAATTGTAAAGTTTATCATCAAATTTCCCATAATGCATGCATTAATTGTTGTGTTCCATTTCCCATTGTTTAAGCGAAATTACATGCATTTTTGATGTTCTACAAACAGTCGTACTCAATTCACCATCGATTCATTCTTTCTTCTCTGTATCTTCATACCTTTATTTTATTTTTATTATTTCTAAAATGAGTTTCATAGTCAAAAGCACGTAAAACGTTACAACTGGTGGAAACTCGGATAACTCCATTGAGCATAAAGAATGATGATAGGATGATAGACGTGACAAATTTGATACATGCAAATAAATTTGCATACATTCCAATGAGCGAATAGGATGAAATTTTGTTTATTTTTTAAAATGCAATAATATTTATATGCAAATTATTTAAAGAAATATAGGAAATCTTCTTATATTTCCGAGGAAACCAATTGAACGAACGAATCGATTACATTTGTCTTGAATAAAGACTGATGGTTTCTATTATTTAGTTTTCATGTATCATGCAAGATTCAACCACCTTTTTATAAAACAAATAAAGGATTCTTATGCATTATTTCGCTGAGTTAAAGAAGTTAATAGGACATATGAAAGCAACCTTGTTGTTTGTTAGAGAACGTATATTCCGGTAGATTTATTTGATTTATTTTTAGAATATCTATATGAACGAATTATTAAACAAAAGAGATCCAGAAAGTGTGTACGTAAGAAAAAACGTTGGATCTTCCGGAAACCTGCATCAACTTCAAGTGTTGCAAGTTTTTGATGGATGATTTTTCAGAAAATTTCCGGACGTCTTTTCTCATAGGGTGAAGCAACTCATTCATGCGAGTAAATCCAATTGTCACAAATGAGTGTATGATATGTGTTAACATGTGTCAGTAATCATCTTTCAAATCACTTTAAAATGAGTCACAACAGTTCACCGAGTCATTTCATTCATAATATAAAGCATCGTAATTATGACATATCCAAGCACAAAACCAGAAAATTTTATCTTTTTATGGTTTGGTTGGGACGCGTCAATCAAGTTTCAAAAGTAAATGACAAATCACAAAAGGTTTCTTGTGATACCTTTTTAAAGGATTGATTAAAACGAGATGTACAGTACATCCGTGATTGGAGTTCAACCTTTCTTACATTTTGACGATTGACGCGTTTATCTACATTTGAAGTATTAAATCATGTACTGTACTATACGGGAACCACAAATTAAAACTAAACATTTTCATTTTTCTGTCAAATTTTTTTTTTTTTGGATTAGCGTGGATTTTTAATTTTTGAAGTAATGAAAACCATCAATAAAAAATAATTTGTTTTTCATGAAATATTCAAGCATCGTCCTTTACAAAATAAAAATATAATATGATTTCCCATTCCCATATATATTCAAGTTTATTTGAACTTAAAGTTGAAATAGAATTTTGCTGTAAACGATTTAATTCGTTGTATATCCTGTATGTCATCTGTTTATAATTGTACTGAAAATACAACACGCTTATATCATGTATATCATGACTCGAACAACCCATCTCATTATTATGACGTCTTCCTCTTCATCCTGTAAAATTGATTCCTAATGATCTCAAAACGATTTGTCTTTCAGCTGGTTGAACGAGATTGAAACCATTTGTCAACCCATTTTGAATCTTCATTTATTGTTCTTTTTCCAGGCCATTTTCAAGCTCATTCAAATGCTCAGACCTTTATAAAACGTCATATACGTAGGATTACATGAATGACCCCATATTGTCTGATCTGTTTCTTCCGCTTGTCAAGGTAACGTTACAACGAGCAAGAAATTCTGCAGTGATCTGTGTTTCCCATATCGAACAATTTTTCGGGTGTTTGTCCTATTAAACAAGTTGTTTGAGTCGATGAAAATAAAATGACCTGTAAAATGAAATGTAAAAAAAATACAAAACTCTCAACAAGAACATAAAATTTTCGTTTAATTACTACAAATTCGGTGTATTGCGCATGTTATGTGATTTTGGATTGAGAGAACACAACGATTATCATAACCAAAGGATTGCCTTCAGATATTAACTTAATCTTCAAGGACCATTATTAACCCAAAAATCATGAATTAATAATGTGCTTCACATGTTCCTACGAGTTTGTCAATAAACGTTTAGCATCACCAGAAATTCCTCATTTTGTCAACATCGAAACCTGGTGATCTCAGAAAACCTCTGTCAACCGTGGGGAGAATAGTCATTGAATTAGACAATATTTAAATTATGAATGTTAGGTTCACTGAGAGGTTTGCTGGTACAATGTAGCTCGTACCTTCAACATCAATTATAGCTGAAACTCCAAAGCTCACTTTCATTGCAGCCATACTCGTTTTTTGAACCCAAATGCCGAAGAAGGGAGGTCGACTAAGTCATAATACAACTTAAACTGGAATCGAGCCCTAAGCTGATCGGTGGCTCAATTGAAGTGAAAATTTTTTTATCAGTTACGCAAGTTCGTGATTCATGATCACATGATATTAATCGGATGATCGATAAATCCAACACATCAAGTGGGTGTTTATTTTTTGCATGTTCCTCAGGAAATCCCTCAGGAATTTGACTGTCAATAAATTTATCTGTTTGGTAATCGAAATTAAAGGAGGGTTGAATGGAATTTTGATAAATCCGAATGAGGAGTTTTGGAAATGACGTATATTATTTGTTATGAGCAAAAAACGCTAAAAAATTTACTTATTACAATTAAGTCTAATACAGCAATTAAAGCAAAACTCATCAAGTAAACATTGATTAAAACATAAAACATATTATTGCTTCAAAGGAAGGTCAAATAACTCAAAGTCGATGGCGTCGAATTACAAACATCCGGCTCCCCTGCTTGATGGTGAGCCCTATAGCAGAAAAGAAAAACATGAAAACATTATTAGCTGATCCGAGGAAATCCTGTTTGACACTGGGAAATTGCAAGGTTATTCCTGAATATGAAAAAAAGTATTCTGACCGTTAAAAGTCTACCCACCATTTCCCGGTAATATAGCATATAAGATTTTGTAATGTTTGTCCGGGAACACCGTTACGGCAATTGCTGTTGCGGTGTCATTAATTCCGTTAATGTTCCATTGTACGAAGATGGCGGAATCATCAGCCTTCATGGTTTTTATTGTCTTAAGGATCAAACCAGAAGTATTATCATTTTGTAGGAATTTGGAAGATCCTTAGGCACTAAAACAGAAATAATTAGTTCTTTTAAACATATAAAATATTGTAGCTTGCCAATATTTACTTGCACATTCCACATTTAAAAGCGAGCTTTTCTACTTTTGTTTTAAATTTAAGATTACAAAAAGATAAAATGATGTATATAAAAGTTCTCAATATATTGATAAATTAAAATGATAAATGATGTATTTAAAAGTTCTCCAGTTACTTTATATAAAATCACTGATGTATTTAAAAGTTTCAAGTTACTTTATATATAAATCACTGATAAATGATGAAATGATGTCACAGTAAAATATTCACGTTACTATGTTCCAGATAAAATCTTTATTCACGCAACCTGCCTCCTACAATTAAACCTATATATTCCTAATCAAACATACCATTTCTGATCATGTCTAATAAAAATATATACATGTTCTGCAAGGATCATGAAGGTCCCAGGGGTAGGTCCTAGCGTTGGCATAAATTGGCTCTTTAAATGTAAAGGTAAGATAATAAGTAGTATATTACAAGTACTATTGATAATCTAATCAAGCTTAACTATACAACTTAAGCAACAGAACATTTTGGATTTCGATAGATATGATCACAGCACCCACATGTCTTACTGGTATATTCTTCAGTATATATAATTACCTGATATTATGGATACTCACAAACCTTATGTAGAAAATATTGGCAGAAATAGAAGTGGAACTATGTTAACACCATCCATGCCGTCTTAGAATGAATCTGATATTTTTTACGTCTAACCATTCCTTGTATCTTAAACTCAGGTAAAAAGACATTAAAGACATATTATTATTCAGAATAATCTTAATGAAGCAAAAGACAATGATATATTTAAAGTTTTAGTTGAGTCAGTCTCTAATGCTAATACTAGTTTATTCTGTCTCTCTAAGCTTCAAAGGAAATTGAAAAATCTCAATACTTTAGAAAATTAATCTCTGTTACATTGATTCTGAAAATAACTTGTTTAGCTAATAAAATTCAAAAGAAGAAAAGTTTACTACATAAAAATGAAGACATTGATTACTTAGATCACTTTACGTTAGAATCAGTTAAGAAAAGATTAGATGTATATGATGTATCCAATGTATTTAACTTACAAGCCCTCACCAATATAATGATAATACTTTACATTCATCTTATTAAAATTAAAATCTTGCATATATCTAATGAAAGAGTAACTGAATATATAAAAACTTGAAATAACAGAATATCTTCTGAGTATTTAGATCACTAGAAAAGAACAAGAAGCAAGTAAAGCAATTAATTGTATGGATTCAAAAAATCATTTCTTCTAGACAGTTAAAAGACTCTGAAAAATCTGATATGTTATAGTTTAATACATTTCTGTAAAAATGAATTTATTATTTTCTAATTATTTGTATAAATTAGGAGCAATATTTGCAATAGTATCATGTGATTAAGAATATATTGAAAGCTAATATTATTGCTGAACAAGCCCTTAGACACTCACCTAAAAATAATATATCATTATCGCAAAGATATAATATAGTAAATTATTAAAAAATAAAATAATGTTATAATCAAGCAAAACCATTTAAGCTCTTTGATAAAGACTAATCATATAGATGAGTTAGAGAATTCCTTCAAAACTGAGATATCATTTATTAAATTTTATTTTTCATTTAAAGTAAAATATAGTATATAGAATACAGTATATCACAAAAATAGTAACTGATCAAAAATATTTATCTGATAGTATATCTAGCAAGTAAAAAGTTATTAGATATACAAAGAAATTAGCTTAGATATTTAGACTAAATAAGCATAATTCAAAAGTATATAATGCGATTTCTGAAAAAATAAGATGTTAGTAAAAAGGCCTTTTTTCTTATAAATTTAAAAAAAAAACCTATCAGGATAAGCTATTTTCTACAAATGTAAAATATTAAAATGAGAAGATTTAGATAAATATGTAAATATAGATACTGTGATTGATCTAATACAGGAAATAGTTTTCTTACTAATTAATGAAAAATGTAAGGATTTCTTCTAGATATCTGAAGAATTTGATTATGCTAAAACACTGATAAGAGTAAAAAAAAACTGTTTTTTATAAATAACAAGAAAGGTATAATTGATAAAAGTTATGATCAAGAAAGTAGTTAGAAGTTCAAAGTGATAATCACTTAAATTATCACTTTGAGCAAGGATAAGAGACATTAATAATTTTTATTAGAGCTTATTCTGATATTTATAAAGATTAATGTTAAGATAAAATAATCTAACACTAGATTCAGAAAATTTTCCTTTTAATAAAATTAAGATAATTGTATCTTCTGATAAATCCAAAACATTTTTATAAATAATGTTTATAATCATAATTAATCTGAAGGAATATTCAGGCTCTGTAATCAATAAATACTGATTCTAAATAAATTGAAAAATTATTATTCTAGAGCCTAATATATTTTTTTATAATTTTTACGATATGCATTATTAGCTAATATTTTGATAGGATCTTCATAAATATACATTACTTCTGCAACTCTATCTAAATCGTTTGAATAAATGAAAAGAATACATCTTTCTAATCGATTTATATTTTAAGAGATACAGTTATATATTTAGATTTTAAATTGATAAATTTTACTAGTTTAGAATAATAATAGCAGAGTCTGTGTAATATATTAATTTTGCATATATATACGAAAAAAAATATTAACCTTTATTGTATATTTTTTCCCTTTTTGATCAAAGATCTCAAAAAATATAAAGTTATCACTTCTCTTTTTTCAAATACTATGAGGAAAATATGGTTAATAATAATGATAAAACTATAAATATAAAGGGTTAGTAGACTCACAATTTCAAGATCTACAAGAATTAGCTATCTTTACATCTTGTATCTATATAAAGAGGTAATAAAGATTCCTTTTATATATACTTTTATAAAACTCTTGATATTAAATAGTAATATTAATTATTATATCTCATATCTCCTTAACTTTTTCTAGATGAATCTAATACTTGTTTATATTTTAGAAGTTTCAATAATATTAACACATTTTATTTCTTAAAATCTAATATAGTTTGAAAGTATATTTCAAACGAATAAAAAGAAACAAACTGCAGATTAGGCATTTGAAAACAACTATTTTAATTATATCTATGGTATTGTAATTACAGGTTTAGAGTGGCATTTTATCATATGGGAGGTTTGCTAGGAAAATGGGGTTCTGAGACTAAAAAATTTTTTTGAATAAATTAAAAAATCAAAATAAACAAAAAACTAGCTTTAAATTTGAGGCGATC